AAAATACGTTGGTGATTGCGGGGACGGCAAGCCCCTGCCAAGCCGTTGCTACCATCAAGAGTCTGCTGGTATGCAAGATCGAAGCCAGCGCTTGTGCTGCCTGGCGGCTGTAACTTTGTTTTGCGGAATAGTTTTTTTGCCAACAGAGAGCCACAAGGTCACTGGCAAGAGAAGCTGGCGCCCTTTGGCTGGCAAAGGCGGCAAAGGCAGCTGAGCTCGGCGCATTCGAATCGCAAGGATGTCCTCCGTCTTTGTGATGTTGGGCCCACCTGACGAACAGCACTCCCACTTTTCCCAGCATGCGAAATCAACCCGAAATGTCCTACGTTCACACCTTTGACAATCTCTCAAGCACTGGCACCAAACAGCGCCAAGCAACGAGCGAGCCCAGAACTTAACGCCGTCAAATCGCGCATGCAAGGCCGAAAACCTCTGGTACCTATATGTGTCAAAATCAAGAAGACCGTCGTACCAGGTATGAAGTCAAACGAGGAAGCAAACCTTCATAACCCCCAGGTCTTCCCCTTGTGCCTGTGGGAAGATGATGCTTGGGCGGGCCGCGGGATTGCTTTCCCCTCATGCCTTGCGAAGCTGTGGCTCTCATATGCTTCGGAAGCTTCGGAAGCCCACCCCAGCCATTATAGCTACCACTGAGCCACGGATTTTGTCATCTGGGTCTCCTTGCTACCGGGAATGTACTGAGGGCCAAACAGTGCGTCTACGATTGGTTTCTTATCCGCAGGTTCTCTCAACCGAAGCCATGAGGTTAAGCAGCGGCTTTTTGACGAATCTCCTCACGGACATCCCCGCGCATCCGGGTTCGCCAAGCGCAGTCCGTCGACAGGGTTGTCTGCTTGGCACTTTCAGTTAAAAAACTCAAAAATGAGCAGCATCCACCGAAGTCGAAGCCTGATGTGCCATCGCAACTTCCGCGTGTAATGGGCGTGCAATGGCTCAAACTCCAAACCTCCTCGTGCCGGGGACAGTGCAAACACTTCGCGCACATGTGCTTCCGGTTTCGTGGCCACGGTGACGTCCGTAAGAGCGCCTGCATCCAGCTCGAGAGCATACCATCCGCGTGTTTTTCTGGTCCCCATGACCGGTGTGCAACTCGTTTCTACTCTACCGTCGCGTCTCCTCAGCACATGTTTGAAGATCCGGGATACCAGAAGAATGAACATTGGCGGTGCCGGACAGACTGAACCGGGATTTTATGTTTTTTCTTCATGGGTCTGACAGGGCAAATCCATTTCTCCGCGCGCGCCTCCTTTGGGGACGTTCCTTGGGATGTGGGCCACAGGCAACTGGCCACTCAAACGGAAAAAAACTCGTGTGTTTGGTTTCGATCCACCCCCTTTGCATCGCGTGATGTGAACGAAATAGTCCTCTCAGTTGAGCTTCTGGATCGATGCCCAGACATGCTCGGGATGCTGCCAGTAGGCGGCTGCCATTGACTGTAGCGGAGGGGGTGCACATTCGGGGCCGACGTCCTCAGGACTGTCCCGTTCCTCGGTTCACTTTGGCCTTGGTGCCGACGGTCGGATGAACGGCATCTCGGTCCCAGCTCCTCGACGCAGCTTCTGGAAATGGATCTCTGACCAATTGTGCCGGACTTCTCCAAACATGCTCTTGCGTTGCTCGCTACGTGTCCGCACATCAACTTTCGTCGAATTGAACTAGTGTGGGATCATCCAGCCATTTATGCAATTCACGCATCTGCGTCTTGAGGCTGTGCACCCAATGAGGCTCGGGTTCCGAAAGGTGGAAGTGGGCTTGGAGGAGTGGGAGAGTCTGGGTCTGCGGGCTTTATTTCCGGGCTCTCCGTGTTTCTGGCAATCTTTCGGGCGCAGCAGTAGAATTCGGGCCTGCGCTTGCGCATGCAGGGGAATTCTGTCATACCAGCACATGTCGTCTTTCTCACGGCCTCTCTCCCTCTCCCTCCCTTGCTCCTGCTCCCTCGCCCTTTCCCTTCTTCTTCTTCTTCTTCTTCTGCTTCTTCTTCTGCTGGGTATAGGGGGAGACCCCCCTCGCACAAGGCGCGCCCGAGGGTATGTCAGGTTCGTGTGTGAGATGGGCACTGACACTTTGGCAAAACGAGGGAATGCCGCCACATAAAAAAGCGAAGGGGGGGTGTTTCCCCCGCTATGCTGCTGAAACACAGACACGTTCGACTGGCGAGTTCCCCCTGCAGCAACCTGGGAAAAAACATACAGGTCCCTGAATCATGTTGATGTAAGAGTCCCACCCCGGATTAAGCCCTCGGTGCTGGTCCTAACAGACGGTTCCCCCCCAGAGTCTGCTGGGGGTCTCACTGAGCTTACACGGAGTTATTGACAAGACAGTGAGCTTCACTCCCCCTCTCTCTCGCTCTCTCCCTCCCTTAGCCCCTGAAGTTTTCGCCGCTCTAATGGTCAGCAACTCCCCCATCTTCACTCGGGCTGGTATTCAGGCAGCATCACTCGCGTTCTCTGCTGCCTTTTGTTTCTGTGTGCGATCGCGCCTGTGCGTCTTTGTGGCATCTTTCCACAAACAAAAGGAACCACTGGCACACCCCCCGCCGATCCCCCACCCAGCTCTGCTAAAAGCAAAAAGAAACCGGAGCAACCATAACAACAAAAGCCAAACCAGATTACGAAATACATTCATAGGAGAATAAGAGCAATAGAATCTATAGAATAGCAATAGGCATAGAAATTGTAATGGCGCCAAAAGGAGCAACAAACACAGTGATAATCATCACAATCATGATAGAAAATTGCCAAATCGTGTAATAATAAGAAGAAAAATAACAATTACTAGTAAGCACAGGAATATGTGTAATGACAAGTGTCGCAACCATTTGAATAATGAGAACAATATTTGTGAGACTCAGAATAAACATACGAGCTGAAAGGCAAGAGAAGTAACTGTAGCGATTAAGAATAGTCGTAATGTGTCGTCATAATAGCCATAAAACTGTCGTCGGCAGAAAAGATAGTAGGACGCACTATCACGAGACGAGAATGTTTGCACAGGACAGACGTTTTCATCGATGTTGAAGTGAACAAATAGATAAAATAGACCGAAACCCCTTCAACCTTGGACCCTTGTTCTGCACGAGCCTGCGTGGCCTTGCATCGCCACCACGTCGACCCGCGGCTGCGGTCGGAAACTGGCGTGGCTGCAAGGAGAGTTATGATGATTATTCTTATTATTGTTATTATAATTCATACTATTATTATTATTAGTAGTTTAGGCTTCCAGGCTTTTGGTGGGCTTCCAAGGGTCGTAAGGATGCTCTCGAGTCGCCAGGTATTGGAGCTGCTGGGGCCAAGGCCTTCGTTTAGACGCTGGGGGATCAAGAGCTGGAGCGATTTATGGTCAGGCACGGGAGCACCTTTCTCAAGCTTGCACAAATATTCGCACCATGTCCATATACTCCGGAGTCTCTGTTTCTTCAAGGTGCGGGACTGGGGGACATGATGCTTTCTATAGCCCCTTGTGCCCGGGCATCTCAACTACATTCTGTATGCCAGTCTTGTTCCGGCCTTCTTCCCTGCCCTGTAACTCTGAGAAGCAAGCTCAAAAACAAGTAGCGGCCCGTGAAGCCATGCAGGCAAAAAGTGAGGCCCTCCGGCCCAAGCTCTTCATGGCAAAGAGTCCTACGGAACTTGGGGGGGGGTACTTGACGGTACTTGTAGTAGACTTCTAGTGTCCCAAACTATCCCTGAAACTTGAGTCCGGTACGGGAAACAGTTGTGTTTCAACCTAGGGTGGCGCTGCAACTTATGTGGACACGTGACCAACGGGTGCGTGTTCTTTGTGGAACAATGTCTGTCAAACAGTAAAAAGGCCAAAAACCGGCCAAGCTGCCACAACCAAATGACTGACAGAGTCTCCGCGATTTTCCGAGGAGTTTTAGCAGTTTCCACGGTGTTTCCGCAAAATTTCCGCGAAGTTTCCGCAAGTGCCCGCCCAGACTTTCCATGAATATTTATAAGCCCTGGCTTGTGGAAAACTGGCCCGGATGTGTGGAGGCCCGCAAGTGTGGAAAAACAGGGCCGGATTTGTGCAAACACCGGCCTTGTATTTGTGGAAACCCGTCTTGCAATAAGAGAACCTAGAGCTACGAAAACGTGTTTGCCGAACCCCCGAATGCCCATTGGATGCCAAACTTTCACGCCCTACTCCAGCAACTCTTTTTGCGGCAGCTTGGTTGCGTTGCACGCAGCTTCATTGGATGGAACTCTGATGCTCGTGCGGCGGAGGAGTGGGTGTCTGCAAAAACGAACCCCCCTCCAACTCATGACCTTCCAACCGCACGTCAACACATCTGCGTCCGAGAGGGGCTCATTTTGTCTTTACCTGCCTCCTATCTACGAGCATGACACCCCCTCCCTTTTCGCACCAGCAACGTACGTCACGAGAGAGTGAGACTGAAACGCCGATTGGCCATGTGGTATTCACAACGATCTGTCGCAGGCTGGCAACAACCGCTATGGCCTAGGATGCCTCATGATGGCCGGTTTTTTGGTCGAGGTTCGTCGTTGCGACGAGGCCTCTCCTACTTTTCAGTTGGGGCCTTGATTTCTCACCGGCACATTGTTGAAGCCTGTCCCACAACCTGACGATCTCAGCCCCAACACCAAAAACTACACTTTAAAAGCTTTGTCTTTGGCGTTGTGAGTGGGCCGACATTGCAGGCTTGCAGCTGCAGCGGCGGCAGCTTTGAGCTGCGAAGACAATCTGAAGGTCCACCCTGGCTGGTGGGCTTCAAACTGCTTGTCGAAAGTTTGGGAGGGTTGCCTTGCTCCGGAACAGAATCTATTTCAGGCATGAGCACTATAGGTGGGTCAAATGAGACCATGGCTCGGGGGCAGTGACGTTTTCGGAGCTCCGGGCACGCCAATTTGAACCCCAACTGAAAGGGGCAAGAACGGTTTTGAGCGAAGCTGAGAAGGGCACTGCCGCACTCGTGGGCTCTGGTTCTCACTATGCTCATCTCCAAAAGACCCACCTTGTCAGCGCTCTTGCCTGAAATCAGCATACCTTGTGGCCCGCAAAGGCGACCAGCACACTCTTACGAAAATTGCAAAAGCAGAACCACGACAACAGGGTACCGATGGGCTGCCTCGTTGCATGAAACGCACCTCTACGTTGATCCGAGCCTTCATGAACTCAATGAGGGCCGGCCCATGTTCTGCACCCCCCAAGACGACAATAGGCCCTGGCTGCTGGGACCTTGGGGCTCTCAGATCTCATTTGCATTTTTTAAAACATGGTTTGTTCTCATTCAACCAAATAACCTCGCAGCCTATGCCGACCGACAGTTTGGCAGTTACAACAGGACTTTAGACTACCGTCCTAGGTCCAACAACCCACCTCGTCTGCACAATCTTATCGCACCATCTGGAGGTCGCTCCCTCATGGTCGTCCAGATGTGAAGCGCGATTTGCCTTTGCAATTTGAGACGATTGCAAGCTTGCAATGTTGCAACTTTAACCCTATGCATCCGAAGACTAGGAGAAACTCGGGCGTCTCTATAAAGACCGGGTTTCTCATGTCGCTTCTCACGGTTTCTCACAAACAACCGATCAACAGGCGGTAGGTAAATTGCGGCCAAAAGAGCGTTCAATTCCAACTGCGCGCTTTAGGCCCCCTAGAATCCAAACAAGGAGAGTTGAAGCACGTTGCTCCTGATCCAGTCCTTTGTACGTAAGCGCCGTTTTTGCATCCAGGCCTCTGCGAACACTGCCAGGCAAGTAAACCGTTAAACCCCTCAATCCTCAACCCTAAACACCCTTTTTACATCCAGGCCTCTGATCCGCTAGCCGGGCAAACCCTACACCGGCCCTCAGCCCTTACAGCCAGGCCTCTTCAGCCCTGAAAGACCCAACCTTTAGAGCCCTGTAGACTCGACACCAGAACTTAAAACGCGCTCGAATCGCGGGTGCTTGAATGGCCGGTGATTGAAACGCAGTGCTCAGAATAGCAAACAGTGTCGGCATCGCACGCTTTAAACGTTAACTAGCCTGTCCGGCAGACATGCCTCGCCCTGCTGGTTCACAATCTTGAGGCGCAGAGCCACTCTTCCTATGAATCTGTGAGTGATGTGCGTGCTAGCCTCCTGCAGGGGTGGGGGGCAGTGTGGGTGGTGAGGGCTGGTCCAAGGGGGGTAGGGGTTGGGGGAGAGGGCGGTCAAAGCGACGTTTCTTCCATGAGACCAAGGGTTGGGGCACAAAATGGGGGTTGTCGGTAGGGGATAGGGCCTATAGGGGGGGTAAAAGGGGGGTGGGCAAAGCCTGGACACCTGGCGCGTTTCATGCACTACTGCGTACGCACGAAAGCCATGAAGGCAAACGTCCAGGAGGGACTGCTGCATTACACCCGTGCATAAATGTCCACAGCATACCCTGAAAAAGGTGCGAGTTTAATGAGTGCTTGCGCCACATGGCCCACGCTGATAGGGTTACCCCCCCCCCCCCCCCAATGTGTCACCCAAAGCCATAGCAAGGCACGCGCATTTTCCAATGTTGCATGTTTACTGCACATGCTAGTATGCCACACCTTTGCCATATCCACATAACCAAACCGACAATGCCACCTGCAAAACCTTGCGGTCCCCATCAACCGTTACCTTGCTTGAGTAGGTGCTTTTTTTCTTGCCTCACGCCTGGCTTGCCTCAATCCTTTTCCCCCCTTTGTGGCAAAAGCGCGGGATGGTGCAGGACAATGCTGCAATAAAAAAAGTTCTTTCGACCCAGACGACAGAAGATCAGCTTCTAGATTAAGCCAAGTCTCCAAGTAACGCATGCCGCCGAGAGTGCTGCCATACTTGGCGATGAAGGCATCCTTGGACCACTCGGGATCGTCCAAGGCGTGGAAGTTCATACGATACTTCCGTGCAACGCTCAGCAGATTTACAAGGGACTCGTTGAACTCGACGGACCAGCCATTGTGCTCAATGGATCTGAGAACGGCTGCTAGGGCTTCGTCGTCATCCTCAGTGCTTGAAGAAGCAAAGGCTTTCCTGACCTCCTCCAAGACGTCTTCGTAGATGAACTCCAGCCAAAGTGTTCCGCCCGCAGCCTTGTGCAAGTCGCGTGCCAACCTGACCTGCTGAAATGTACTGGCGTGGTCGTCGCGTACGTAGAAGATAGCATCTGGGGCCAAGCTGTCGCCACTGACTGCAGCACTTGGACAGCACCCCATGAAAAAGTCCCGGCGAACGATTCGCAGCAACAGCTGTCTGGTAGAGTATTTGATATGACAGACTATACAAGCTGTTGCCATACTGTCGAAGGAACATGAGACTGACGTAGTCATGTGGTATGCCCGCATGCAGGCATGCAGGAATTAGGAGCCCCATCGCTGCGGCATGCACTACTGGATCCGGTGGCAAGCACAGCTTCGCAAGTTTACTGCAGGGCAAGGCCCCCAACAGGGGGCGCACAAGAGTTTCCTGATGCAACACGCACGCACACACACACAAACAAACAAACAAATTTGTTGCATCCTTCATTGCTCCCACCTGCCGTTTCAAGTCATGAAGTGACAACACCCTGCCGGCCCTACACTGTCCTATGCCCGAAGTTCTCAAGGACGTTCCCGCTGAGGCTGTGGCAAGTTCACAAAGTTCACATACGCGGATTGGAAGGCCAACCTTACGGCACTCTTGGAACTCAGCTCTTGGGAGTGCTAAGGACGTACGAAGGACATCTGAAGGACATCTGAAGGACATCTGAAGGACATCTGAAGGACATCTGAAGGACATGCAACTGGGCTTTCGTCAAAGCAGAGAACTACCGCAGCAATCACTCCGACAGTAATGTTGGGTACCCCCCTCAAACTGTCTGACTGTCCGGACTTCTCGGTTCTTGGAGGGCGCTTAAGGCAAAAGGTCTTTAAACCCAGAGGTCGTTAGACCAGGCTTCCAAAAAGGTCGCCAGCAACAACACTCCTAGACTCCTAGAACCAGCCACCCCCCGCCCAAACCCCCCACCAGAACTTCCCAGAACCTGCATCTTCCCCCGTCTGCTTTGCATTGGATTGAAGACTGCCCCTCACATCTCGCTGTTAAGGAAAAGGTTTCACGGCATGTCGAGCCCCAAGATGCGGCCCAACCCACATGCGAACCATGTTTGTGCCACGCGACGCCAGGAGAATGACCAGCGCAGCGCCAAGGCGCGCCTTCCAGCAGGTCTGGAGTCCGGCCGGGAAAATGTTTTGCATTTCGGGGCTTCCGGCACGTTCCCCCGGGCCTAGGCCTGAATCCTAAACCCTGTTTAGCACTGGACTGGGTTTGGGGGGGGGGGGGGTGGGCGGAGAAATGGTGAAGAAATGGACATATGAAAAATTGGGGGGGGGATGGGGGTTCTATTGGGGGGAAGGGACTAAAGCGAGGATGCTGATGAGGGCTGCTTCGTGACACCAGTGTTTGGTGCAGAGCAGCCGATCTGCCCCTCGTCAGCAAGTCCAAGTTGTAGTTACGTTGGGCCATTCATGGCGTTCGGTTCGCGGGCTGTTTGACTGACGCTTTGGCCTGAATTGTACTGTTCACCCTTGGCCCCATGCAGCTTCGGTGCCCTGTTCAATGAATCCAAAGAGTCTTGCCCGCTGGCCGAGCAAGGACTGACTGAAGCTCCCGACAAACCCTTCAAAGTCCAGCCCTTGTCAAAGATTCAAAGCCCCAAAGCTAACTCCCAATTGGAGTGGAGGGATGTTCAGATTGCTGCATGGCACTGGGGAGCCATCGGTTTCTGAACAAGTTTTGTGTGAGTTCTGTTCCGCAGGGGGCTGGCTCGAGATTTTGGCCTTCAGTTTTATGTGACCTCCACCTCGCCATCCTCAAGCTCGCATGATTATACGTATATCAGCCCTTGGACGCTTGGAAGTCAGCGCACTCTCCAATCTCCCAATTCGAACTACTAGTACCAGCCCAGGCCGTAACAATCCCAGGCCTCCATGGCGCAGTCTGTCAGGAGCAGGGGGATGAGCTCTCCGGGAGGTGATTTAGACTGGTTTGGGCTGTTTGTGCCTTCGCTTCTGGGACATATATGGAGCTGATGGAATCGGCGCGTGAAGTCTAATAACTTATGGTATGCACCCGCATTTGGCGAGCGTGGTCTGTTGTTCTTGCTCTGTTTGCCCTTAGACACCAGAAGCCTTACTCAGTCATGACACCTACCTTTTGCACACATTTTGCTTCTCCCCCTTTTTGACTTCTCATGCCCTGGCTCGAGCCGGGAGTGCGACAAGGAGCATGACAAGAAGGGTATATATTATGAGTCTCAAAATAAAATACACAAATGGTGGTTGTTCTGACGGGCGTGCAGCAAGCCTCATAAAGCTATGAACACAGAAGACAATTGCAAAATCCAGGTGAGCTGTCACCATCAACAGCCAGGGGCAGCAGCTGGCGCTGGGGTTTCTGGTTAGGGCTGCGACTCCTCGTTAAAAAAGTTAAGAATTCATCACGGCCTGTTTATCATCTTGACAGGCTCCTCTTCCATCATGCCTGCACAGCATGCCGTTGAGGCCGGAGTGTCCCAATGTTCCGCCTGCCCCTTCAGGGTGCTCATTCTCAGCCGCGGGTTGCCACCGACAGTGTCTCCAGTGCGCAATCGGCAGGCAGCATCTCACGCGTAAGAGACGAGGACATATCTGTTGCCTTTCGCCATGCCCATCCCTGCCACCAATGCATGGCTTCGGCTTTGGGAGCGTTCAGTTCGTGCCAGGTGTGCGAAGATTCCAGACCCTGGAGATCCTCCTCGCAGGCATTGTAGGCGTCCTCCAAAGTGCGCGAATGATGCGAATACCTGACCAGCATGCAGAAAATGCCGAGAAGCTGTAGAATATCTCATAGCCTGGGAGGAGGCTAAGAGGAGGAGAAGAAGAAGAAGAAGAAGAAGAATAAGAAGAAGAAGAAAAAGAAGAACAAGAAGAAGAAGAAGAAGAAGAAGAAGAAGAAGAAGAAGAAGAAGAAGAAGAAGAAGAAGAAGAAGAAGAAGAAGCAAAAACGCGAGGCATCGTACACGGCATCTGAAATGACGTCGACGTCCCATGATGTCTCAAGGTTTTGGTGGTTCGGGATGTTTCGCCTGTGTCTTGTGCAGTGCTGTGCTCAGTGCTCTGTGCTGTGCTGGGCCTGTGCGATCGACCGCGCAGCCCAGGTGTCGCATCATACCGCTTCAGCGGCCCAGCATGGATTGTCATCGTGCGGTCCCCGCAAGAATATTTGTAAGCATGCCGCTGCCCCCATTTCCTGGCCAATCGACCTAGGCTGTGCAACAATGTGTGTTAACTCCACATCATCTCGTTTCCGACTTCATGCTTACGTCGTGCAAAGAGCACGCATGATAAAATCAGGGCAAGTGGCACGGCAGCAAAGGCTTGAGGAGGCACAAAAACCAAATGTTCAACCCGAGACCCTCTCAGCCATGGGCCCCATTCCATTCATCCTACTACTAGTGGCCCCGAACCTTAGCAGCAATAATTCTACACCCAACGGGCTTATCAAGTCCCAGGCACAGGAACTGACGAGGCTTCGCATGCCCAACAGTTTGCATTCCAGGTCTGATCTCCAATGTCCACCGGTGGCCAGTTTCTTCGAACATCCTGAAGATTCGATTTTGTTCCCCACCCCAATCATGGGGCGTTTAAGACTTTGAGTCCACCAAGCTCCTCGCCTCCCCCGGTGTCCGGGGCCTGGTCCCCGGAATGCAAATTCAGAGAGAAGCCCGCAAAGAATCCCGGAGCGAAGTCTGCAGAAGATCCCTGAATTAGAGAATCTTATAAGAGATTCCCGCCGGGTCTCCCTGGAAGTGCCCACCCGCCCGAAAAGCCCGCAGAGAATCCTGCTGAGTATCATCCCAGGGCTTTTTGGGCAAGATTCTCTGTGGACTTCCTGGGCCTGGGGTCCGGGTCGGGTTGGGGTCTGGGTCCGGGCATTTATGCTTGGTGTTTGCAAATGGGGTGTGGGGGGGGGGGGGGGGGGGGGGGGGGGGGGGCGGCTGCACTTTTTAAAAGCAGCTGAAGCTTGCTTGCTTGCCGTCATGTCCCCAAACCATATGACCGTTTCCAAACCCGTCACGCGGGCATTGTGGTTGCAGAGGGGGGCTGCCCCCCCCCCCCCCCCCAACCCTCAAATTGAGGCAATCCCTCCAAGGGCCCTGAAGCGTGCACCAAGTAGAAGCTGTGCGGGCCCCCTGTATCATTGAATCCGAATGGTACTAGAATCAGGGGCTCTGACAACCTACACACTTCCTACGGACCAAAGTGCCCCATGCCCCAGCTTATTGTAGCCTTCGTGAGTGCCTGAGAACCCCTGAAAGTCTAATTCAAACGAAACGGGATTCTGGGAGGGTGGGGTGATACCACACACACAGAGTGATGCAAAGGGGCACTGTGAATCAGTGGCCCAGGCCCCTTAACTTAAACTGTAAACCGCAGCTTTGTCCAAAAGCTTCCAAAGACGTTGCAAGCACTCCAGTACAAAGGTGATTAGGTTGGAGGCGTTGGAGGGGGCGGGGTGGTCTCGCGCAGGGAAAGTCCAAGTAGCAGCATGTCTCAGGCAACCCCAGGGTGCAGGGGCGTCCCGGGCAGGTCACGCCCAGACCACGGCGGCCCAAACACAACCAAAACCTTTCGTTAAGGTTTGAATATGCATAGGTAGCTGGTTATACTTTTCGGGGAGAAAGCCCGGTTAACCTTAACGTTCCCGGACATGGGTCTGAGATGTCCTGGGTGCGGGCGCGGGTCAGGCGCTGATGGGTCCGGGTGCGGGGTCCGTGTGCGGGTGCGGGCGGGGAGTCGGAAGGGGGAAGATGCAAGAAAAGCGACATTATGCATCAGACCCGACCCGGGGCGAGGCAAGGTGCACGGTTGATTTTGTTTGTGTCTCGTAGCTGCAGGAGCCCTACCCTTCCACCAAGTATGCCGACATATCACAAAAGCTGCCCAGTAGCAAGTAAGTCAGCCGCCACCATCCACAGCAAAGCGGTTCCTTAGCTTCCCGCTGCTCGTTATCGAAGTTACCCTCCAGCTGTGCCGTCGCAGCTGCGCTGCAGACTCGTGCCCTATGCGAAACGATTCATTGTGAATCTCTGAATGACGCACTTGATTCGGAAGCTGCCCTATTTGCTGTTTAGAAAAAGACACCCCAGGTTTGAGCCATCGTGAAGTTCGACCCTTTCGCATAGCATTGAAGCCATTTCGTGGCGCAGGATGAGGGTTGCAGCACATACAAGTCCGAATGGCATGCTGAGTTTCCGCAAGTTCGAAGGAAACAGCCGGAGCCAGTCCGGTCGAGACTGCAGCGCAGCATCCGTGAAGCTGTCAGGAGGTCTAGGGACAGTAGCCACCTGTGGCACGAAGGCAAGCTGGCAATTGAAATGTGCAAACCTCTTGGGCAGCCGCTATCAAACTGCAGATGGGGGGCGGGGGGGGGGGGGTGGGGGGTGGGCGTTCACGGTGCCGTCTTATGGAGAACAAGCGACAAACCACGAGGGTATTCGGATGTACTCGGCTAGGTCCTCCTATGCTGTTGAAACAGTCTCATGCCTACACCTTTTGATTGAGCCTTGTATATCTGGGCCTGGAAAAGAGATGGAACAGGAAAAAGAGAAGTCTGCAAACTGATGCCGCCTCTGGCTGTCATAGCAGCCCTGGAGGGCCGCATTGAAGCATTCTGAAGATGTCCTTGCGCCGCTGGCTGGCTGCAACCCGCTGGCCGCGAGGAGGTCCAACATGCGTCTCCACCTGTGGTACATTTTTAGGTTTATATACATATATATATATATATAGTTTTTTAAGGTTTAACCCTATAGGGTATAGGGTTTAGGGATGCTTCTGGCCAGCAGATCGAAGCTCCAATCCCGACATCCGAAAGCCCGAAGAAACATGAATCAAACGCGCGCGAGCCGCTGTTGCGCGCGCCCAAGGGCTGCGAGCCCGGCTGTGTTGCTGGCAACCTGACCCGTTTTGAGAGACGTTCACGTTGCGAGACGTTCACGACACGGTTCAACGTTTGAGGGCGTGACATCGCGCAATCTGGAGAGGATCGAGCTTGGTTTCGATCGCTTGGAACAACACGACTACTGTACGGCACTGTGGATTTGGAACAGTTCTGAACCGTCTGAACCCCCGCCCCAGAATGTACACTCAACAACATGAAAGTCCTGGACGGAAAAAAATCCAGGCTACGCGAAGCAAAAAGAAAACTTCAACTCCTTGAAGCCCCTGCTCTGCATCAAACCAGGAGTGGCAACCGAGGCAGCGTCCACTTGTCGAGAAAAGCCCCAAGTGCGAAGGGCTGCCTCATTGTCTCAAACTTCTTGCAAGTCCAACAGGTTCTAAGGCCTCAAAACCTGATGGGCGTCCGGAGCACTGTCGGAGTCAGGATATGTCATGATTCTGTGTACTGCTGCACTGAAGTTCTCCCAGCAGATCATCAAGTCCTGAAGTTTGTCTCCGCAACCCCCGAGCTTCTTCACGCACCATGGCCTCCCACAGGCCCGCTGCTGAACAGCTGGAGATCCAAGCGCTGTATGTGAAGGCATCCAAACCTTTGACGCATATCGACGTAAAAAAAGAGGTGCGAATCACACAAGATGAGTCAGCACATCGAACTACATCAATATGTGTCAAGGGCATGCAACTCTGTACATGTATTGCAATTGGCGCCGTTCATGTGCGGGTCATGCTGCAAGCTGCGAAAACAATCGTCAAATATCATATCTCACGCACGAACATATCCCCGAACATGGTGTTCTCAACTGAGCCATTGTAACACTGCAGGGAAACAAACTGCAGCCCCTTCATAATTGCATGCGACTGTCGTGGGCAGCACTGCACTGGGCCAGCTGAATTAGTCCTGCCCACACAAACATGCAAAGCAGCACACGAACCCAGCACAGCGACACTTCATGTTTCACTGCCGGTGTCCAACCGCATGGTCCCACACGGAGGACCCACCGCAGGCACTCAACACCTCGGCTCGAACGTGTTGCCGCCATCGTGTTGAAATGCTCATGACCTGTTCTGACTGCATTGTGTGTGTGTGCGCTCACAGTGGACACAATCCGGGTTGCTGCGCTTGCCGCTGTAGTAGTCAGCGAAGAATGTCGGACATCGGAAGCCCAACAAAGGGCGCTTCTCCAGCAACGTCCATTCTCACACCTCGGTCAAGGGAGCACCAGCAGCACTTTTCAACCACCCAAGCGCAGACACCTCGTGGCGCACTCCCGGCGTGCATGCTTGAATGGCTTGAATGATTTGAACACGTGAACACCACAATGCGAATGCGCACAGCGCACTCACTCTTTCCAAACCGACCGACAGGAAATTGCCAAGACACGCGCTGAGAACGCCATTGGCGAGTATGGTATTGAGTTTTTCGCCTGACACAGCATGTGGTTATGAACCCGTGCTGCAGCTGTAGCTGGGTGTTGGTGCTGATGCTGGCAACGGTGCTTCGCTTGGCACCAGGATGCGGCCGACCACCGCTGGCCATCCCACCCGTGCACCGCAAAACATCCACAGAAAAGGTATTGCTAAATGGCATGCCTGCAACGCGAAGCTGCTCTGCCAGCCGCGCTGCTGCATCCTTTGAAAAACAACATGAATCAATTGAGTTGAAACGAATCGCGACCAAAAACTTTGCGTCAGATCATGTCACGACCGACAGCATGTACATTGTGGGTCTCCCTCCGTGTCGGTTCTAATGACACGGCTCCCCAGAATCGGCAGCAGAATGAACTCCAATTTGGGCCCAAGCTTGGGTTTTTTGTTTGGCGCAATACACTTTCGACTGAATCCTAGGAAGGTATCTGAGCACAAATCATGGAACAGAAAGGAATCCCACAGAGCGGGAACAGCTGACTGAGCACATCGCAAACAAGGAACGAAACCCATAGAACAAGCTGCAGAAGTATCCCTGCAATGCTCTCCTAGCAAGCAGAGGAAGAAGAGCAATGACACATCGAGTGGGCTAGGGGCGGCCAACCGTTGAGGCAGCGTTGCTTGGCTGGGTGGTCTGGTGGCCTTCAGCGAACCGACCATTCCACCACTGTTTTCCCGTCTGCAGGACCTGCAATCTGGCTTGCGTCTCTTGCGTCACTGCGCCTCCTTCTGCAAGATGGTGCTTGGCGTTCGTGTCTTTACAAGAATGCTGCCGGTTGCCGGGAAAGCGGGAGGGCCTACCTGGATTTCTTGGTCAACTTTAACCCCCGGAAATGCTTCCAAAAACTTTCGTGACTCATTGTAGGTTCCGCCCCGAAACGTCATTCAAGAAAGGGCCACAAGATGCATACAGATGACAGAACAAAAGCCACAAACTGCAGCCGAGGTTCCCAAAGTCCCACGCGGGAAAGACCAAGGACGGATGCCGAAGAACATGTCAAGCCATCAGTCTGTGCGTATGGGTCTAGACATGATGCTGCTCTTTCTTTTCCTTCTCCGGTTGAACACGTAGCATGCCGGAAAGCCTGCGTGTTCCTAGCCTCGTCTGGAACATCCACCTCCGCTGCCGCAATAGCTGCTGCTTGGCACCACGCGCTGCTTCGAGCAGCGGCAACTGTGGCAGATGTGAAGGACACCTCGCATTCAATCTTGGCTTGTCGCCTACTCATGCGGTGCTTATGTTGAACCCGGCACAAAAGCGACGTTTAGAAGTTTAAACGAACACGATGTCGTGGTTGTGAGGTTTTTTTGCAAACTTTGAGATGTCGCGGTTCGGGGAAGCTACATCACCAAAACAAAAACACATCAATCAACGAATTAATTAAGCCTCAGGTGAATACGAATTTTGGGATTCTGTGGGTGTACGAGTCTGCTTTGGAACAGCGCGACCGTTTCGCGAAACGGCTTGTTGACCTGTTTCCGTTTGACAAGGGAAGGATAAACAACTCAGTTAGTTTTCGTGCATGACACCAAGAACTGACACAGCATGAAACCTTTTGCGGTATGCGCTGGGGGTGACCTTAGGCCCTTAGGCCTGAAATTGTTTGCTTCCCCGAGCGAAAGAGAAAGATAAAAAGAAAGAGAAGGATAAAACGAAAGAGCACGAGCCAAAGGAAGAGAACAAGAGAGACAGAGAAAGAAAGAGAGAGAGAGAGAGAGAGAGAGCGAACGAGCGAGCGAGGGATAAGGAACGAAGTAGAAAGAAAACAATTGAAGGCGAGAGAGAGAGAGAGAGAACAACCTTTCACGATCAGAACTGCAAACGAAAAAATGATCAACCACAAACATCGAGGAGTGCGACAGCCATCAAAGCAACATTGCAGATTGCGCCCGCAACCATCGCGTCAAATTGCGCTGCCGACATGTTTTTTTGGCCGAGCTTCCGCATCAGGCAACACGCCGAGATGAAATAGCTGCGACACGCAAAAAGCTGACCACGTCCAATGGAACACACCTGCACCAAGTCTGCACAGCGTTGCAGTGCCGAAAATTGAACACATGCTTCAGGCAGCTGGGGGACATGCAGCCAGAGAAATCCTGCGGATTGTGCATGACAGTGCACGCACATGCTAATCAGCAGCCACATGCACAGGCCTGTCTTCAGTGTTGGAACTGCAAGGCCTGGGTCACAAGCCATCCATACATCGATTACCGATACGTAGGTCGTTATCTCGAGAAAGTTGGCTTGGGGAGCACAAGATCGCAACTGCCCCAGCGCCAAAAACCGTAGCCATTTTGGCTCAAGCAAACTCAAGCTCGAGCCACCATACTTTTTGGAGTACCGGCGCAGTGTGTGCGATGCAGGCGGCGCAACTTCTATGGCGCGCAGTCGGGTGGGGGCTGTCGGCCTCCTCGTCGGCAGCCTCCTTCGCAGCTACTTTGCCTACCTCGTGTCGTCAGAGTGTGACCCACGCGTTCCTGACCTGCGGGTTGGGGGCTCTGCCTTATCACGCGTCCGGGTTCGCGCCGCTGCCGGCATGCTGGGGCTGGTTGTTGGCGGGCGTGCTGCTGGGGATTGTGGCGCGCGAGGCGATTGTGCTCATCCTCATGTGCGTCCGGGGCAGGAGTCCCGCGCAGGACACCACAGCAGCAGCGGCAACGAAGGTCGTGCGGAGTTGGGAACTGGGCGGCGATGGGGAGGTCGGCGAGTTGGCTCGCCGCGCCGGCCTCTCCACGACTGCCTTGCTTTGCAAACTCCTCCGCGAGACATTGCGCGAACCCGACGCAAAAGGGATGGGGCGGAGCCTGCGACAGGCGCGCCCGCGAGGGCATGGAACCAAGCCCTGAACCTTCCCCCGACGCCTCCCTTCGCAGAGTCGGAAGGGGGGTTTTTCCTCCTGTTGCTTCAGGCGGGGGGGGGGCAGGGCGCGCCCGTTATAGGGACAGGACCTCGTGGAAGCGGCCCTCCCGTCGCAGGTCTGGTTGCCCGTCCTTGTGTTCCGAGTGGTGCAAAGCAAGGGGAGGGACCTTGAGGCAAGGCAGTACAGGAAGCAGCCGTTGGCATACATGCAGGTTTGTTACTCCTTACTTTGCCCCGCAGCCGTTGTCGATCGGGTAGTTTACTGATTCGTCCCCCATGGCCCATCGCCATGGACTGCCACGTCTGCCACGCCTGCGCCGCAGTGGACGGTGGCGCGTGCGACTGCTGCGAAGCCGTGCGGCGCATCCAACGCATCGTGCACTCTCAGGCGCTACCAGGTACCACCGGGGACAGCCATGGCCGCCGCCAATTTGCTCTTCGGTGTGGCGCCTGTCCTGGCCCTGTTTGCCGATGGCCCCCGCGGCGGTCGGACAGCCGAGAGCCGGACAGGGAGCGCTCGCGCACCCCCGAGCCCTCTCGTCGCCGCCGTGAGGATGAGGCACTGGAGCGCGAGTATGAACGCCATGGTCGCGACCCACGCCTTGAGGAGGCCATTGCCATTGTCCTGGAGGCCAAGGGCCAGTCCAACAAGGGTCGCGGCCGAGGCAAAGGCAAAGGCCCCGGCAAAGGGCACGGCAGCCGTCGCAGAGGCTAGTTCCAGGCTGTCCACATTGCCCACCTCCCGCGGCCCGCCTGACGCAGTAGTAGCAGTTTTTTTCATGCGCTGACCTTGCCAGCGGCCGTAAAATGCATGACCGAGACTTGCGTGCAGGTGAGGGGAGGAGGTTCAGGACACCGGCGGGGCGAACTCGCCGAAGGGTATCCTCTTGGGCATGCGTGCGCGTCGCTGCGCCACAAAGCGCCCGCAGGCACAGCATGCGGCCGACGGAATTAGGGTGGGAAGTCGCGCCACCCGGGACCCTCAGCCCCCAGCCCCCCGGACGACACCGCGCGGGCCGAGCTGGTGCGGGAAGCAAACGCCGAGGCCGCCCGCCAGCGCGAACGTGCGTGGAGCGCGCTGCAACTGCAAGGGATCACCTCGGGGGCCACTGCGCCGACGGAACCAGGGGAAACGACCCCTGAATTCACCACGCCCGCATGTACCCCACGTGGCCCGCGGCATGATGGCGAGACCCAACCTCTGATGAGGTTGTTGTGGCAGGGACCGGGGCCCCCGACGGTCCCCGCTCGAGGGTCCCGGCCCACGCTGTCGCAGTACTTCGTGCCGTTGCTGCTCCACGCCGCGGGTCTGCTGGAAGACCCCCGCAGCCAGAGCGTGGGAGGATGTCCCTTGGTTTCGGGCCGGCCCCACCACCAGTTTCCGTGGCGCGGCTCCTGTCTGCCATCGACCAACAGGCGCGTGCGGGCGCGGCTCCGACCCCGGACGCAACCCTGCGTAGCTTACGGGGGGTTGCGCCAGCAGCGGGCGGGGTCATGCTGCCCGTGGCAGTCGCGGGAGTCGCGGCGCTGGTGCAAGAGAACCACTATCTCACAGCCAGCTCGAAGGAAGCGCTGCTCATTTGCTACGCGGGGGAAGCCGCCGCATCCCGCATTTAGGCGGGCGCAGCTGCGCTAACAGCGCCCCCCATCCCCGTCGCCGACAATGCCACACCAGCGGGTGCCGGGAGCGCCCGCGGCCGTGGGCGTCGCGGGCGTGGGGGTCGCGGCCGCGGACGACGGGGCGTGCAGAGCCTGAGGCCGCCCGCGGCTACACAGCTCGACGCAGACAGCGACCAGGATGCTTGCGGGGGGACGGCCCTTTCGCAGCGCGGCCAAGCGCGGACTTCACCGGCCGCCTTGCCCGCGATGCTGCCCCACCTGCGCAGCGTCGATTTGGCCGCCGAACTCGGCAACCCGGTTTGCACGTTCCAGTCACCGCCACGCCAACCTCCTTGCCCGCCTGCGGAACGCCCTGCGCGCGCGTGAGGCGATCGGCCTGGAGACGGAGCAGATCCCGGAGCAGCTGCTGCGCACTGGCGGACCTTTTTCTTGCTGACCACATCGTGTTTGGTCGGCACCTCCTGCTACGGTCGTGGGGCAGGCCTGTTGCGAGGGCTGATGAGGGCTGCATGTGATGGCTGTGGCCGGCAGTGCTACTGCTACGGTCGTGACCGCTCGCTGAACGGCGATGGATAGCATGCTCCACCATCGTACCATCGACCCAACAGCTGCAGCAGCACGCAGCACCGGCGGCGCTCTGCACGCCCGCAACCGGACAAGGAACTGGAGCAAGCTGTGCGAGTCGCCATCGAAGCGTCCGCCCACCTCGCTGCCGAGCACAACGAGTCTCTGCCCCCGGAGGTCGCGGCTTTGCGTTGCTCTGCTGTCCGGTGCGTGTGAGTGGTGACACGAGTGTGGCATCGCAGCACAGCGCCGTGCCGTTAGCTGCGGCACGGTAGCGACCACGTCGAGGCGACGCCGATCATCCACCCCTGCGCCGTGGTGCGGACCAGCCACTGCTGTGGCTTCTAGCGCGCGAGAATTCCGGTGCGTGGGCAAGCAAGAGCGTGGTCACCGAACTGGTCGACTTGCCCCCCCCACACCTCACTGGCTGATGGGGGCCGTGCTGTGGCGGGGCTGGGCGGGCTCCTTCGAAGATGGCTCGCAGGAGCTTGCGTGACTCAGCAGCGGCACGCAGGTAGGAGGCGTCGCTCAGCGCTGCTCGGTAGCTTTCGGCGAAAGCGGGGGATCGGGCATGGATGATTGGCAAAGCATTTAGACCTGCCCAGTACGCTGCCGGGCTCACGCGCAGGCCACCCGAATGGGCTGGCAGCATGGCGAGATTTTTCGCGGCTTTTCGCGTGCGGCACTTGTGCTTGGCGGCACCCTCAGGGACGGCCTGCTCGTGGGTTCGTGCATAAGCCCGGATGACATATGGGTGGGAGCTGGCTTGACAGTCACATCCTTGCTTGAGAGACTGTCGTGGTGGTGTAAAAGCCGTCAAGGAAGGCAACCAAGCTTTCGGTGCAAGGCATCGTGCTGGCCTAGAGCACACAAATCGGGGGCCCGCGGGCCTCCTTGTTTGCAGCCCTCGCCTTGCTTATCCCGGAAGCGCCCTGGGTCATCAACATGCGCAGCAGTTCGGGCGCTACTTCTCGCAGCTTGGTAAGGAATGCTGCCGTGGACATGCAGTCAAGTGCACTGCGCCCGTCTAAAAACACCGGCACAAGAACCACAATGACAAGGCGGTGCGACCATGCGCGGCTAAAGCATCTGTGCCGCCTGCAACGCGAACTGGTACGGCCGAGTCGCCCGGTCAAACATCACCTTCAGATGCTCCGCGCATGCCGGAACCCGCTGCTCCGCCCCCCCAAGTGTCGCGGAGCGCCGACGCCACCGCCTTCGCAGTCAACCGGATTTGTTGCGCTGGTGCGTGCTGAAGCACGGCTGCTGGGACGGGAGTTCGCGGCGGTCGTCGGAGTGGGTCCGTGAGGGCCCGGTAGGTAGCCTCGTCGCCAGGCGCCAGATCGGCCGCTGTCAGAACTTGGCGCGCCCGAGTCACCCACGCCCACCTTCGCACATGCGCGGTTCCGTTTGCCTGTCTCGAGCGCCTCTACATCCACTGCGGGGCGGCCAAGTCTGGCCGACAGTTGGCGCAGGCGGCTTCCAAAAGCCGTTGCCAGTCGCCTCATGTCGCCTCGGTCAAAGGTGGCTCTTTCCAGCAGCTCAGCTCGTCCATCTGCGCCTTGGTGCGCAGGGCGGGCCAGCAGCATGCGAGGGCTCAACAGGAACAGTTTCCACGCGCGATGCGCTGCGCAAGCGGCTCAAAGCTGTTACCATGGCAGCGGTCGGCACGGCTCGTCAGCAGCGGCAGGGCACGTGCTAACGCCGTTACTCTCGTCGCCTGTGCTGGGCGGCGGCGGGTGTCCGCCGGACATCGTCGGCTAAGCTGCGCGCAGATGCTGCGCAAATCGATCAGAGCCCGAGGCCTCCGAACCGTTGGGCGAGCTGGGCACTGAGGGCCAGAAGCGGCACGGGGGCCTCGCCGAGTTCGAGAAGTGCAGTGAAGCAGCGACTGTGTTGCGCCGCGTACTCTGCAGTGAGGTGTGGGGGGGAGGATGCGCAAGAGGTAATTGGCGCGCGGGGCCTGCAGGTTGTGCTGCAGGAGCCGGTCGTTGCGTTCCAACGGGCGCGATGAGGAGGTAGACGTCATCAAAGAACGCAAACACTGCCTCGCCGTCCTGGAGCTGGATTTTTTTTTGGATTTGCACAGCGCCTCGTGCTGCGCCAGGGAATTATACGTTGGCATCAGCGTGTTCCCCCTGTTCACCGTCCTCTCCCTAACACGGTCAGACTCGTCGAACTGTACGAGCATGGAGCCCCGAGCATCCCCGAGCTACGCGATCGAAAGCGCCGACGGCATGGACTGAGAGGATTGTCGCACGGTGCCATGCCTCAGTAGCGGCAAGGAGCAAACGGCTGACGGCTGCCGTTCCATCCGTTCCGCTGCACGTGCTCAACCCGTATTGGCACGGCATGCACGCAGTTGGAACTGCCTGGCGAAGGGCTGCGCGAACGTGCGACTGACGAGGAATGCTCGCCCGTCATCTCGCGCGTGGCGGCGAATTTGGCGCGGGGCTCTGCAGAGGCCTTGCAGCTGCTTGTAGCTCTTTGGTTTTTTGATTGCATGAGGGAGCACTGTCAACCTGACATGTATGGGCGAGCGACGATATGGGCACACTGCCCATCCGAGAAATTCTTGCCCTGGCATCCCGGAAGGCAGATATTCTTGGCGCTGTCTTGGTCGTGAGCGAGGTGAGCGAGGTGAGCTGGCTTGGGATTTGGCTTGCGTGTGGCTTGCCATTTCGTTCTTCGCGTCGGAGGCTTCAGGATGAAGATGTTCCTCGCTCTCATACGACGACTGGGCATGACAGCGCGCGGCGCCAGCAGCAAACTGTGCTTGCTGGAACAGGTGTGCCATCTCACCCGAAAGACACAGAACGTTCACCATCCCAACGCTCAGTGTGTCGGCTTTCAGTCATGTCACCTGCCACCGTGTTGAGGCTTACGGCATCCAGCCGCAAATGTCTTTCTCCACCATCCTCACAGTCTAAGCACATTCGGGCACATCCATGGTGAGCCGAGAATGAACTCTCCATTGACCTCTGCAACGAACTCTTAAGAATTCATCAAGGACTTCGTCCTGGACAACGCGGATGGCGCCCTGCCACCCGAGCGCCCTCGCAAGCAGCTGTCGGCAACACGTCATACACTGACCATGCTTATTGTCTACATATGTTTATGCATGCCGGACTGCTGTTCCTAGCCGTGTGCGGTGAACACGAAACGCGATGGTGCCTGCTAGCCGCGCTTGCGGCTGCGTTGTGCCTGAGCTGCTGAGTTCCCAAGCACAAGCTACATGGTGTGAGTTGTCACCGGCGGTAAGTTGAGCACATCCGTCCTGAGCTCCTCACGTGCTAATGTCAAGTTCCAATCCGCTGCTCGCAGTGCTTTCGAAGACCATGATGGCACACCTCCATGCGCCATTCTCGGCACACGCAGGAATGCACACCTGAGCGGCATGGAACGCCTGGAGCGTTGCGGTACCCAATTCCCGACAGTATACAACATACACTGAGGCACAAACATTCGCAGTCGACACATGAGGCAGCCGGTCGTGAAACCTTTTGCTGCGTGCACTCATAGCAAGACCATTAGACCATTCCTGCCCCAGCCTGGCCCAAAAAGCCAGAGCAAGTTCCCAGGAATTCAATCTCCGGCATGCGGCAAGGACCTTAAGCATCAACGCTACAAGGGCTCTGGTACTCACAACTGCTGCTGCTGCACTTGCTACAGTAGCTTGTTGTTTAGCATGGCATGTCTTCTGACCAACATCCAATCTGATACTGACATACCGGCCTCAAGCACATCGTCCACTTTGGTAAGCCGGTCAGGAAACCTGCGGCTCAACAGCATTCGCGTGGCAATTCAAATTAATGCTCGTCCTGGTCATATAACTTTCAAGCCCGTGCTCACCTTCTTCGGTGGTGCAAGACTTGCGTGTTGGGACAAATGTCAAACACGACGCCGCTGGCAAGTAGCTGCCCAGCTACTTTGCTGCAAGTTTCGCTGTGTCAGTGGAGCCTGTGTCAGTTATTCCGAGAGATCGCTCCAAGTCATGCGTCAATGCCGCATTCTGCACATTGGAGATGGGACGTCAAAGCGAACAACCAAATTCGATCAGCATGTCAATTTGGCAGCAGTTGTTTCTTTTGACCCTTTCGATTTTCACATGATTTTCAGCTTTCAACTCTTCTCCTGATCGCTTAAATACATCAAACCTCGCGGATGCCGATGTTTCGGGCCACGTTGACTTCAATCTGTCATGACATTTGGCAGCAAATCCTGAAGGAGACGCGCGTTTTGTTTCAAAACCACTGATTGTTCGAAATGCACCAAACCTCGCGGACACCGATGTTTCAGGCTGTGTTGACATCAATGAAGCATCCGCAGCAGGAACCTCGCCCGGGTCAGGGCTTCAGGGTTGTGTCCCCCATGCTTCGTGAAAAGGGGAGCCTTGTACTTTCAGGAGAACTTGCCCCAATGCCACCACTCGGAAAGGATCTTTCCGGCGAAGAGGGCACGAGCGATGTGCAGGCAAGCTGAGGGAGGATACAGGCCCGTTGTGATGCCGCGCACTTGCATGCATGTGTCGGGTGATCTGTCGCTTCTAGCACCGGGAAGTGTGGGTGGTGTGGCTCGGAACAGCACGGCCAAAGGGGCTGTCACGGCGGGAGGTCACGACAACGGGAGATGCCTCTGATAGTTTGGCAAGATCTGCTCGCAGCCACAGGTCTTTTTAGCACGTGCGGGCAAATCATCACACGAGGGAGTGCCCGCTTCTCAGGAAAGGACAGCGCAAACCGCTACAACCGCCACAGCCTCGCTTGAGCGGGAGATCCAGCCACGTCGGCGAGGTTCCGACTTTCGCTCCGGGATTGTCTTCTGCGTGGGGTTCAGGAATAGGCAACACACCATGTTCGGATTCTGATGAGGGTGCGATCAAGGAGCCAGGTTCCAAGCAAAGGTGCAGCCGTCGGCTTAAGGCCAAGCAACAGTCCAGCACTCCCGCCGCAAGGGAGGTGAGGCATCGATGAGCCACGACCGTGCTGGTTTCAAGTCCAAATTTGGGTAGGCTGGGGGTCCAGGATCCGTGCTTGGAACAGGAGATGAAAGCGCCCATTGGCCAAGTCAACCACCCTGTTGGAGCCGCGGCGTTTTGCATCATTGTTTTGGGGGCACAGCATTCTGTGGCTCAGACCATCTTCTGAGAGCGGAGCGCATGTGTGGCTCAGACTTGGTCGAGGCTAGATGTGGATGATGGCGGCGATGGGTGTGGATGATGGGATCGATTTGCCTGCATATTATGATGGAATCGGATTGGACGTGCCAAAGGTAGTCCCTCCGCCCGAAAGGCAAATCGGGTGACAGCTGCGCTCTCGGATACTTCGTGTGGGGGTGGGTTCAGAGGATCCACCTACAATGAGCCAGGCCGGACGGGCTGATGTGTACAACAACAGAAAAGAGGCCGACCACTCCCGGGAAAGTGGGGACCACTTGCAGTATATCGGGGGTCATGGGGTCCCGTCCGGCATCGGGCTCGACCTCATGCTTGCTCCACGACAAACCGAGGCCCTAGGCAAACCTAACACACACACACAAACACAAAACTCGCAAAAGGCCCCCTATGGCATGCTTATTCCAGGGGTACAGTTTTGCACCTGAGGCCTGGCCTGCTTGATTCAGGGCCGTGCGGCTGCTTGGGGCTCTTTAGCTGGGGTCCGCAATCAAGTCAAGTCTTCCGGGCGTCGCAAGAAAAACTGCGTGCGGCGCACCTTTAAAACCAATTGCCGGGCCTCGCTGTCCCGTTTAAATTCGTTTTACCTCATCGTACCTCATCACGTTTAGCTGTTCAGGGAGAACCCAACAGCCCCACATGTCGGGTGAAGAAAGATAGACTCTGAAGAGTTTCGTGCATGAACAAAGCGCACAGAAGTAAGCAATCCATGGGCGCCTCCAACAGAGCTCCAGAGTAGCTCGCAAGCCCCACTCGCCAACCTCAGTCAGTGTTGGTAACGAAGAATGCTTGGGGGAGCTCTACAGTGAGTGTCAGCATTTTCACGCATCCCGAATGTGTCCGCCACATTTTCTTGCCGGAGACGTCGGAGAAGAAGCCGCCGCTCCATTGCTGCACTGCTTTGCCAAGCTATCAAGTTGTGCGGATCAGAAGTAGAATTCTCATGTGGCCAAGGTCTTTCTTCGGAGCTACGCACAAACTTCCAACCACGCATTCTCATGGTCAGATTGAAGTAAGCATGCAACTGTAAAGCCGAAAGCATGTGACATAGCTTTCTTTGTATCGCACGGCAATGCAGAGGCTGCGGCTGAGATGGGTGGAGGTTGTGGGGGAAAACTGGGACGTGCCCGTGGGGCCTCGGACAGCCCCAATTGGGCGTACAAACTTACGTGACGTAAACACGCATCTTCGAGTGCTGATCTCAAGTGCGAGCCGGAAGGGTCAGTAAACCCGAATGCACGGTTTCCTGTGCATGTTGCTCGAGGCACTGCTGCGTGGATTCTGCACAAGATGCGCAAACCATTTGCCTCGGATCTACTCGACACCCTGAAGTTTCAAGCGGCTGCCTGTGTCAACAAGACTACCTGGTAACTGACATATCTCCTGTTACTGTTCTGCACCCTTCCCGCATCCACAGCTTCCTTTCTGCTCCACGGGGCGCATCGGAGGAGCGCTATGCAGCTATGCCTGCAAGGAGGGGAGCAGGGCTAATGAAAGTTGAAAGGCTCAAACTTCGAAAGCCTGGCAGGCTCTGGGTACATGATGCCTGCAGTGACGATCGGCCTTTGCTGTCTTCTGGCAACTTGTTCAGGAGAAGTTTTTGAAGTCCCGCACCGTTCATTGGGAGCTGGTTTGTGATTTTTACTGCTGGTGTTGAACCAACTCAGCCTCAGCACCTGAAACCCCAAACGCTGATGCCTTGAAGATCAGGTCATTGTTGGAGCCCGCGAAGTAGCTTTCGGTGTGCTCGCGTGCGCGGTGGCACCCAGTCTTGTTACAGCACCTGAGCAGCTCTTTGGACGGCTTGAGCCCCAGAAGAGCTTCCAAAGGAGTTGCATGTAAGTTGTTCGCAGAAGTTTGGGATTGGAGCGTGAGGAACCAAAAAAACAAGACACGATAACAGCAGTAGCAGTAGCAGTAGCAGTAGCAGCAGCAGCAGTAGCAGTAGCAGTAGCAGTAGGAAATCTTCTTGAACTTGTTTGAGTGCGCTTCGTTTTTTTGGTTGAGGGTGCTTTTCGCATGTTGCTCCATCCGGGATTTGATGCCTACCAAATTGTACTTGCATGCGGCTACACTTTGTTGCAGTGAGCAAACGCTCGAGCCCTCATCATCTAAAAACCCTTACTATTCATTTGATTCACTGTAACAAAACCTTCACGAGATTTGTGGCTTAAGGTTCGTGATAACTTCTCCGCCGACAGCTTCATGACACCTGACCTCCCCCCCCCCTCCCGCCCCAATCAAGCAATCACAAGAAATCGAGACCCTGATGGCCCAGGCCCTCGAGCTGTGTATCTTAACCCGCTGAATTCTCCACCTCCGCAACCCCCACCTCCAAAACCCCCCCCGAAAAAAAAGCTGGAAATGCGATGCGCGAAAGTTCTCTGGAGCCCAAGAGCTCCCCCGACCCTCAGCCCTCACTGGAGCTGTTTAGCTCAGGAGCTGGTACACCGGCAGACCGCCGGAGTGTGCCTCAGACAAGAAAGAACAACACAGCTCGGAACATGGCAGAGGAGCTGCGACCTTCTGGTAAGTTTGCTTAGATGGTTTTTAGGGCTTTCGGGCTTCGTTTGCGCTTGAAAGTGAGTCTCACGGGTTTTAAGGAGGCAGCAGAAAGTCTCAGTCGGGTCCGTGCAACACTCCAAGCCCCTCAAACCCCAAAGCGAGTTAGTTGAACATCTGTTGGCCGTCGCAACAGCTTTTTCTATTTTTGACGTGGCTGCTGGGAAAGTCCCAAACCTCCTGAGACCACAGCACAGACCTGCAAATGGTTTGAGGGCGCTTTCGGGGGGGGGGGGGGGGGGGGCGGGGGGCATGCTGTTGCTCCGCGGGCTTAGGCCTCGCCAGCTTTGGCACGAATCTCAACCACATGGGACGTCTCAAGTCCTTGGCCCTCGACTCCAAACTCCTCAAATCTCCCATAAACGAATCAAAACTCTGTGCGCTGAGACCGGCCCCTGCCTAGCCTCTCTCAATCTTTGGAAGTCCCTGAACATAGGGAGTGTCTGCAAAGACACGAACGAACATCCCGCCAAATGACGTCTGGAAAGAAGCTGCACTTCCCAATCCGAGAGGACCGAGGCCTGCAAGCAAGCCAAGAGCCGAGGACGAGCGAAATCAGAATATTCACTCACAAAAACCGACTTGAAAAAGAACAAACTCTTTGTTCAACTATTGTAGGACTCACGTGAAGATTCGCCGTCATCAGGTTCTGTGCGTTGTGAAGATTCAACCCCCCTGCCACAGCTTTTGCGAGCCCGTAGCTGCCATGCTAGCAAAGCAAAACGGCGGAGGGACGGTCCTCTCTTCAGCCGCCCCGGGCACAAGCCGGGCTGCTTGGCCTCACGGAATCAGGTCCGGTGCTGGTCCGTGTACGGGATCTAGGCTCGACTTTCTCTCGTAGATGCCAGTAGGAAGGCTGTGTGGCTCGCGCGTGGCCTTCAAAACAATGAGAAGTCACAGAGTCACAGATCCCAACACATCGAATCTCCAGGATTCATGGGCATTTCTCAGTCCGATGTTTGTGCTTGCAGGTGCCCCGCACCTCCCGCTGCTTTGCGGGAACTGACGTCGTCCGCAAGCAAACCTAGGCCATCAAACTCCGCCAAGACTGCTTGGTGCTTTGGGTTTCGGAGCTTGGGATCTGCAGGGCTATTCTGCTGCAAAGACTACTGAAAGATTACAAGCTAGGCCGGGTAGTATGGGGTTCATACTGAAAGTTTTGCGGTGACCCCTGTGTTCGGTAACCTCTGTTTAAATATTCCGGGATATAGCCCGCAATACAGCCGCGATCGCTTTCACTCTCAGCAAGAAAAAGATAGATATGTGGATTCCCTACGACACTGTCTCACTCTCCCACTCTGTCTCACTCTCTCCTTTCTCATGCCTTTCTAAAACTTGCACGGCTTGGCCTCCTCCTCCTTCACCGGACCCGGGCAGAAGTAAATCTGCAACAAAGCCAACATGCCATTCATTATTTCTCTATCTCTCTCTCTCTCTCTCTCTCTCTCTCTCTCTCTCCGTCGCACTTTCTCTCTGTCTCTCTCTCTCTCACACACTGGCCTGTGTCGGCCAAGACGCAAGCTCCCCAGCCGGCACTTCCTCAAGACTCACTCTGTTTCTTTCTCGCTTTCTCACTCTCTCTCTCTCTCTCTCTCTCTCTCTCTCTCTCTCTCTCTCTCTCTCTCTCTCTCTCTCTCTCTCTCTCTCTCTCTCTCTCTCCCTCTCTCCCTCCCCTGTCCCTCTCTCTCATTCCTCACGCCTTGTCGTCCTTCTTGTCCTTAGCCTTAGCCGGCGCTTCCTCAAGACTCACTCTGTTTCTTTCTCGCTTTCTCACTCACACTCTCTCTCTCTCTCTCTCTCTCTCTCTCTCTCTCTCTCTCTCTCTCTCTCTCTCTCTCTCTCTCTCTCTCTCTCTCTCTCTCTCTCTCTCCCTCCCCTTTCCCTCTCTCTCATTCCTCACGCCTCGTGGTCCTTCTTGTCCGTAGCCGGCGCTTCCTCAAGACTCACTCTGTTTCTTTCTCGCTTTCTCACTCACTCTCTCTCTGTCTTTCTTTCTACTCTCTCTCTCTCTCTCTCTCTCTCTCTCTCTCTCTCTCTCTCTCTCTCTCTCTCTCTCTCTCTCTCTCTCTCTCTCTCTGTGTTTGCTACCCCTTTCTACCACACTCCCTCATTCCTGCCTCTTCACGTGCGGCTGCGTGAAGCCTCAATCTGAGAAAAACGCTCCCTGCCCACACAAGCTCTGTCAGAACCCCGAGGAGCCAACTTCTTGAAGCGCCCCGGCGACACCGTGAAGTGCTCCGAGGTCCCTTCTCCTGACGAACGAAAAAATGTAGAACTCGCGCCGCAAAAACACTCCCCACCCCATCCAAGCCGCAGACCCACATCAATGAACACAACGATGTGGGAAGCCGCCTCCACGAGACCACGCCGCTCCCACCCGCCCGCTCCTCCCTCCCACTCTCCAATCGACACCTCTTCCGCAGGCCCCTTCTTTGCATCCTTGCTCGGCTTCTTTGTCGGCTTCTTTACCTGCTGCCCCCCCATCCCCGCTTCCCCCCTTCCCCCCTTCCCACACGCTGCCAGCCTTGCGGGCGTTCCCCTGACCAAAACGTCTGCAAACGTGAAACAAGAACGCATCACAAAAAAAAACAACGACGAAACACTGGGACCACGACGCAATTGCGGCACCACTTTGTGTCCCTCGACTGCCGGTTGTAGTAGTTGCCGCAGTACTTGAACTTGGCATCCACCGCCCCTCAACCCCAATGCCTCCCGCACTTGAACCCCATGAAATGTCTAAGAAGCGGACATTTGCGCATTTTGTCTGGAATTTCTGCGCCTGACATTTGCGCGAGCCCACGCACACACAAGCACGCACGCACGCGCTTGACCTTCCCAACAACACCTGCCTGCGTAGACCGACGAGAGGACGAGGCCTGCTCTTTCGAGGACGACGACAACTCCGCCTTGACCCTAGCCATCGCCTCACAGGTAGGGTCCGTGCATATACCCGATAGTCACGTGATCGCTAATCACGGCTGTATCGCAGGCTATGTAAACTAATGTATTTTCAGAGGTCACCGTGCATCCAGATGGCCATCCAGATGGCCAAGTCGGCTAAGGGAGATGATGTCAATACCGAGGTCGATCATGCAATGCACCCTTGGACTAAGACCTCTTTCGAGACATCGCCACTCCAAAAAGCCTAAACATCCTAAACCAACAAATGCCAAAATTGATTTTAGTTAGGATAAACCCTCAACAAACGAGGACAGTGATCTCAGCATGAACTTCCGCCACATGAGTCACAGGTCCCGGACGCTTGGGCTCCAGGGCCTCAACGGCCTCTTAGAATGAAGGAAACTTTAGGGTTTAGGGTTTAGGCTT